TATCTGAATAAGTATGTTTATATGTAAAAATAATGAATAAGATAATAGTATTTCTGCTGGTATGCCATAAGCAAAAAAATGATGTATGGAGTGTAAATATTATAATTGAATAAGATTTGGACGTACCTGATCCTGATACGATAGTAGTATAGGGGATATCTCTTGGATTTGCAATATTATAAATCATAATATTGGTTAAATTATGAGGGGTTATATGTCTCTGTTTTGACTGGGTAGCTGGGCAGGTTAATGGCACCGTAAATATAGGTCACAAAACCAGCTCCCGTGTTCGAATGGCGATGGGAGACATAAATCGATCACTATCGATTTTCTCGACGTTGCCACATCTAAAAAGGAAAATTCCGTAGAAATGAAAATGTATTTATTGAAAATTGAGCCTTATACTCACCTGGATTAGTCTGAAAGTGGTTACATAACAGGATTTCATGAACCCTTGTTTCTCTCCCATGGACTGTGACCTATATCATTGGTGATATCCATGGTGTCGAACTCGATAGTTGAAGAGTTGGGTTTTGGTCGTGTCCGAAGAACCAATGACCGTTGACAGAAGTCCGATCGGGAAATTTCGGAGACAGGAGGATGACTTCTCTAGATTTGTAGTGGAGAGTGTGATGGTGGAATTTGTGTCACAAAATCTTTGATATTTTATATCATCCGTAACCGGGATTATTTTTGTTGATCACATTTGGTAATTTTGGGGTCAGGCGATTGTTATTTGGTAGATATTTTGTAGCGCTGACCCAAGATTAAACTCGATTTGAGGATTTTAAATTCTACCCACCTCCATCATATTCGTGAAGTGATCGAAGCGAGTGCTCCTGAGATTGATGATTAGGTATGTGGATTTCTGTGTTTTCTCGATGTGTGAATTCTATCTGTTGTGAATCTGGATCGTGCAGTATTTTCTCAAGTAACACTATTTTTTTTTACTTGTAGCAGGAAAACAGTCCATGTCGTATCATATCCTTATTGACAGGTGCGTTAAGGCCCATAATCCATTATCAGACTCGGTCGTTCATACGTTGGCGCACTGTCAAATATTGTGTATAAGGAAACAAAAAAAAACCCTCTGGGCCGGGTAAGCTTATCTTTCTTTCTATATTACTTCATATATTTTTATAAATTAAATTATAGTACTTCTTGATCTGTTATTAGACTCTGTAGATTATTGCCATTTACTTGTAATGAGCAGAGACTGATTTTCATGATACAGTTGTATTGTAATTTTAGCATCCACTATAATAGTTGTATGTGCTAATATAATGGCACAGTGAAATTTCATAAAATTTAGGCATTATACCCAAGGGCCTATTTACTTCATTGAATTCACAAAAACATGATTTCTCCAGGGGCTGTTGTTAAACATTCCTTCCTTGTGGTTGTGGGTACAACTTGAGGAGTTAATTTTTCTTTTTTTTTGTGTTATTCGACTGATTTTGGAATGGCCCATATTACTGATTTGGGAACATTTTTATTTTTTTTGCATTTTCCTGGTATTCTGGGGAAATGATATGGTTTAAGTCTGGGAGAAATAGTAATTGAAATCATTTCTTCCCAGGGTTTTAATTTTCTTGGATTGAAGAATTATTTGATGAGTTGGAGTGTACCAAATCCACTTACCTGCGCAGCACCTTACAGGGTGGTCATCGCATCATCTAGAATATCTTCAGATTCATTCATCTGTGAGGTGGCTATACAGGGTGGTCGCCGCATTGCAAGACTTCTTCCCAATCCATTCACATAGGAGGCACTTATACCGGGTGGACACTTTGTACTGAGTCTTCTTCGACGACAGAAGCTCACGAAGATGGCACAACCCATCTACCAGAAATACGGGGTGGCCCAGTACACGTAAATAAGCCAGAAGGATACGCAAGTTTTTATCTTTTGCTTTTGATCTTTGCTACTATTTGCTTATTTATTGGTTGTATATGCTTATGTATTTGCTTAGGGAATGGGTCATGCTTGCTTATCCCTGCTATTGTAAAACCGAGTGAAAGTATTCACTGTTATTTGCGCATGTCGCTATTTTTTTTTTTTTTGCATATTTAATTGTCTGTATTTGCCGTTAGTTGCCATTTGGTTAGTGACAATTGCTGACACATTTTGCTTCCCGATTAGTTAGGGTTGCTGAAATTTACTACGTTATTTAGTTACAAATACGGTTATATTTTGTTCGCCTTATTACTTCGGGTTGGTTGTTATTTAGTAGCATCACTTGAGGGGTTATGTAAGCGGAGTTTGTTGCATGCGCGCATTTTACTTACTATCACGCCCTCGCCTGAGCTCACGCGTTGCGCTATCACACTAGCGCCTAACTTGGTATATCAAACGCCCTTATGTCCCACGCTTGCCTACCCACCTCGAGCGCTTCATCCATGTATCTGGTATATTTTTAGTGCTGAACATACGTTATTCGCTTCATAATTTCGGTTGCTCGATACTGCTTAAGAGTGTTTGGTTTAGGCGGTAAATTTAAAAGTAGGATACTTATTAGCTTGCCGTTATATCGGGTATGATGATTTAATGGTTCAACATTATTGTTGTAGAATATTTGTTAGAATTACTTTATCTTGGGCTTGTATTATCTATAGTATAGTAACTCGAATTATAATGGCATCCAAGGGTGACACGTCTTTTATTTTATTTGAACACCTTGACATGGTTTTGCCTCAATCTCGCTTTTGGTAAATTTGGAGGTTGAGTTCGTTCTGTTTAGGGTATTCGCGCGGGGTAAATTTCCTGGCGCCCAATTTATTAAATCACTTTATAGATGATATCACAAAAAAATATCACGAACCACCCCACCTTCGGCTGTAGCTGGCGCGGATGCCCACTATTAATGGTGGTTAGCGATCTTAGGCATTAGTGCCGTTTAGGAAGGTCGCAATGTAGGATGCAAGATTGATAATAACGTGCCCATAAGTTATGCTGTATAGAATAGAATAGAATAGAATTTGATCTTATAGTACAAGTTATATGTTCCCTACCTCGCAAAGATTATGCTGGAGTAGTAAACTCTAAAACTAGAGGATTAATAATAATAATATAAGTTTATTCCAAAACGTTTACATAATATACATTGGAATAAACATATAGGTAATTTGAATAAACTGGGAAAAACCTTACGGAGTTAACCTTGTAGTAAGGATAAAAAATAAATAAATGTACATAGGTCAATAAATATTTAACAATATCAAATTATTACAAGGGAAAATTGTCCCATTAAGAAAGGAGACAAGTATTCAATTCATATAATATATAGTGTACTGAGCATTTCATTCAATACGCATAATTATTTATATTCATACATACTTATTCACAATAATTATTATTAAAATTCATCTAATGATATTATTAAATGTTAATTAAAGAAATAAAACAATTTTTAGGGGAGTTCAATATCCAGTTTTTTATTTTTATTGTATAGGATTGTAGTGATTTTGTTTTTATAATATCATTTGGAATTTTATTATATATAGGTAAGGAATTAAAAATTTAAAATTTCTACGTCCAAATGACTTGTTTGTTTTATATTCCAATGTTATGTTATTTATATTTCTTATGTCATAGATATATTTTTTGAACTGAATGTCTTTTTTATTTTTTTAAAATATGAATCAGTAAATTGTAAATATAGAGTTTATTTATATCCATTTTCTTAGATTTCTTATATAAAAATTCAGTTGGAAACAAATAATCTTTTCCATAAATAATTTTTAAAATCCATTTTTGTGCAATTTCCAATTTTCTCAAATATATCTTGGTATAGTTGAATCAGAAATTCCATATGGAAATTACGTATGATACGGCAATGACCTTAACAGTTCACATAACCTTAAAAACAATAAATGTCAAAAATCTATTGTTTGAATAAGGAAGAAACTATATAACTGTTTCACAAACTCTTTATAGGTCGCGTGCAAGAACTGTCAGATGACCGACCCTGGAGGCAAAATATATGTGTTTACAAGTGATCGAAATAGTTTTCCACAATTATTTTGGCATATGAATCGTATTTTTCCGCTATTCATCAATTCGCTAATGCCATCACATTGTGCTGTTGTAAAATGCACAAAAACTGCAGCGGAAGATGAAGAAATCCGGATGGTACATTATGATTCAAAAGTAAGTACCTACTATAGTCACTCACATAGTTTTCATTTTTGAAATTTGGTTATATCTCTGATTTCTCATCGGAATTCCTTCTGCAATAGGATCAGCTAATAGAAATATACCTGAAATTTCTAGAATAATGCAAGAAGATTGGATTCATGCAATCAATTGGTAGGACTGGTCTGACATGCTGACGATCGTGTGTGTTGTAGACATTTTCAATCTATTAGCAGCATTAGCTTGTATTGCAGAAGTGGCACAAGGCAGAAGGAATTTTAATAAGGAATGACAACATTTCATTATGCTAACTATGTGAGATTACTATTTACCTGAAAAATCATATTCCCTAATCTCTTGCTGCATTTTTTGTGCATTGTACAACAGCACAATGCGAAGGCATGCTTGAATTAATGAATAACGCAAGAAACACGATTCGTATGCCAAAATATTGTGAAAAACTATTTCAACCTTTTGATTCCTCTGTAACCAAATAAAAAAGTGAGGTTGTGTTTCAATAATTCACAGAAGAATGAGGTTGTGTTTCAATAATTCACAGAAGAATGAGGTTGTGTTTCGATATTTTGCCTCCAGGGTCGGTCTTCGTGCACGCGACCTATATTGAGAGGAGACGAGGATCTGTCCGTACCCTGTAAGGATGACTTCAATGTCAATTTCCATCAAGGGACTACAGGAAAGGAAATGCTTTAAATCCTGTATGATCTAAGCTTTAAATATAGTCGCGTTTAACGCGATGCAACAATCCCCCACCACCTGCTTCATTACTTGCGTTCTCTCTGCAGACGCTAGTGTGTCGGGAGCACAGAACTAAAACTTTATTTCTGTGAGACGAGTGACGACTTGACGAGTGAGACGACTTTAAATTTTAAAAATGGCAGCTTTAAATATTGTGTTGTGTATTGCTACTTTCATTCAATTCAGTGAGTATTTAATATTATTATTGTTTTGCCAATTATGAAATTACCTCCACCTACACAATATCCTGCTTTCACAAAAATTATACTGAGTGCTTGGTATTTCCTTGGTTGTACTTTCATTTCATTATTGTCATTATCATGAGATCACTGATTACACCCACTTTTTAAATGATTAGGGAGTAACGATTTTATTCAGTAATAATAAGATGAAATAAGGAATAACATAAGAAAGTTCAAGATACGTATTATAATGGAAACGTTTATACACTTTAAGTTTGTTGGAAGACTTGACACAATGGCAGATGGACATTGAGAATATATTTCGAATATTTTTTTCCAATTAATATCTATAATATCTCCAGGTAATATCTGGAGGTATATGTACTTGTCTACTACTGAATGAATAGCCAATATTGACTACATTAAATTTACTTTTTCATGATTGGCCCTCAACTACTACATTTGTAGATTTGTAAACTCATTTTTGGTGCAAACTTTCTATTTATCTCTATCTTCTGATTTTAATCTCAGGTACTTTCAATCGCTTCCAATTCACTTTGGAAATAGTAACCATAAATCAGAAGTTTTTCAAAAGTGGAATGATTGAAATCTCTCACAGTAGATGATAGAAACAATTATAAAAATAAAGAAATAGTTCAATAATATTTCCTTCATGTGTTTTTGAGATTGAGTGGCCTTTTATCAAGGAGGTCTCAATGATTTTCTTCATATTTTTTTCTAGGTATTGCTCAAAGATCACCAACAATATCCTATATAACACAGACACAGATCAAAGATATTGGTGGAACTGTGGAACTTTCCTGTTCAGTACAATACACACAAGACTACTCAGTGATATGGATGAAAGTTGATAAGAATCAGAACTCCTATAGTTTACCAATTTCCACAGGCAGTTCCCTAATTTTGCATGACTCAAGATTCTCTCTCAGATATGATCCTGTAAGTATGTAATTAGTATATTACATAACTAGTCTGGAAAGTGATATATTTCCCAGGAGTAGACATTTAGCACTTGCAGCCTAGTGATTTTATTGCAGAAATGGAACTAGTGCAGGAAATGCTCTTTCCAATGAGTTTTGTACACTATTTCTCCTATGATGGCAAATATTTAAATTGTATGCATCATGAGTGTGTATGAGACCTGAAGGTATCATTTTTTTAATCATATTTGATCACATGGAGGTTATATTATTTTATTTATTATGATTATTGTTATTATAATTATTTAATTCAACATTAGCATTAACTCAACATCAGCTTAACTATAACTTGACATCAATTTAACATCAGTTTGACATTGAATTAACATAAACTCAACATTAACATAACTTTAACTCAACAATAAATCAATATTAGGTACATCAACCTAATTTTTAATCAACATTAACTTGACCATAGGTAAATATTGGCTCAACATTACATAACATGAACTTAACATTAGCTTAACATTAACTTGACATAACTTAACAAACTGAACATTAAATACTATAAGTCTTAGTGTAAGAAGAAAGTATTCTGAGACTAATGTAAATGAATATAGGTATACAGGGTGTCTGGAAATTATGCACAAAAAATCGAGGGGGTGGTGGGTGGTACTGTATGAGAAAACATGAAATTTGTTTCATATATACTTGGGTCGGGAAATGCATAGTTTTCTAGATCCAGTGTGTTGAACTTTAAAAAAAATTGTTTTCTTATGAATATCTCAAATATCCTTCCACCAATTCCCTTGCAATTTGGCAATAATATTCTGTGTCATGAGGGGCTGATTTATCCATAATTGAATTGGAATTGTGAAATCCAGTGGTGTCCTGGGGGCACCCTACCAAATATTATTGTCAATAAAATGTGCACCACTGATTTCTTTAATTCTATATCTTCATATCCTATTGATTAACTAAAAATACAACATTTTGGTCTCTTGAATTGTTTCCATATTTTGCTTCATTTCACTGGAAAAAAATTAACTCCAATTTATTGTATAAATTTGTGCAAAACATTTCTCCAAAAACAGGGATGAAAATAAATGTGTGATCCATGTCCATAGACATAGAATGAGAATGAAGATGCATTTTCGTCAAATATTTTATACTACATGATTGACACACTTTTATTATTACTAACTACGCCTTCCTGGACCCAGAATACATAGTTCTCAATATACAGAGTGTAGAGTGTGACAAACATGTATCATATGCATGCATATTTATTGATCAAAACAATGGAAGATAAGATAAGATACATGTATGTGGTATGGGTCATCTATAATGTACAAAACTCATCAAACTAGTCAGAAGAAGGAATGTTTACAAATACAATGCTAAAATGGTGTATATAGGTGAAGTCACAAAGACAAAAAATGAAACATTTATACATACAAATCAGATACTTCCACAATAGTAGGTATTAAACATCAAAAATTATAAAACTCCTCACAGGAGAAGGCATTTCTTCAATTTATTCTTGAATAAAATATCATTCAAGTTCACATCTATTATGTCTCCTTTCTTATTAAAACATTTGATACTGATATGCTTTAGTGAATTTTCACTTACTGCCAATCTTGAATTCTACCATAATCACAAAAAAACGGCAAAAATTGAGAAAATATTTGGCATTTCCTTAACATTTTGAAGATATCAGTCAACTTACTTTGACTAGTTCCAAATAATCCAATTAAAAATTATGTACTGATTGACCGAGGGGCAAACAACTCTTTAAATATGGTGTACACCCTGAGTTTTCAAGTACATGATTACTTTTCTAAATCTTTTCATTATTTTAATTATTTGTAAATTACCATTTCAGTATCTTCAGTATCTCCGATTATTTATTGAATATTTTCATTACCTTTTCAGTATTCTAATTACTTTTTGAGTATTTTAAATACCTTTTAAGTAAACTTTAATTACTTTTTAAATATTTTAGTTACTTTCAGAATATTTTGATAACTTTTTCAGTACAGTTATTCTATTTTTCATTACTTCATATACTTTTGAAGTCTCCGGACATCATTTTTAAGTTCGTATTGCCTTTTAATGCTAAGCAATACGCCATCTGACGGAAAAAACTCGCATCAATATCATGTGACCAGCAAGTGTGAATTGTTTGTTTACACACTGCATTGTGCATTTGTGTGATGATAATAGTTGTTTTATAAGTGATTATTGATTTGATAAGAGTGAAAATGACCAGCAGAGCAAATTGTTGTGCACCTGGATGCAACTCTGTGTATAAAAAACCCAATTTGACTATTCATCATTTCCCAAATAAGGATCAGAGAGTTGAGCATATTGGAGAATCTGGAATGGCGACTTTGGTTGATAGGAAGAATCTGTGGGAGATCTAATTGAAAATAGGAAGGAGAGTTACCAAAAACATGAGAGTTTGTTCCAAACATTTTGTTGAGGAAGATTTCATGACTCCTAGTGATTGTTCGTCATAGGTTATAGCGAATGCAATCAGCATTCACACTTGGCGTCAAAATTCTTAGTTTTTTGACAGAATGACAGCACAAGAGAATGAAGGTTTAAAGGTCAATTGAGGAGACCCAGGATTGTTCACATTTCTCGTCTGCCTATAAGTTCGCGATAGTAACTGAGTGAATCCTAGAATCTAGATGAGCACAAGAAAATTCGGAACGGTGTGTTTGAGTTTTTGTGCAGACGGGAGGTGGACTCTCTGAACTGGCTTACCGATTACTAGTCTCTATTACAGACATTACAGTAGTGGCTTGCAGTGGCGCAATAAATTCCAGTGCATTTTGTTCCATAGAGAAAGGGTTTAACGTAGACATTGACAACTACGCATGCGCTGTTTTAAATTCTTCACGTTCGTGTTGGTAGTGGATACGTTATCTCACGTACTTTCACGTATACCTTAAACATCAACGTACGTTAACCAAACTATACTAGAAATATGCGGATGAGTCAAAATCATCAAATTCGGGGTCCCAAGTTGTTCTGCATCAAGGAATCCTCTAATTTTAACAGGGATAAATGTTCGGGTCTAAACAGACAACCAAAAATGACCAATACCAACCGAAAACAAAATGTATTATTACGTTACGATGACAGTGACGACCAAAGTGACGACTTCAACTCAATGTAAAGACAATACGTAAACGTAATTTTTCGTACGTTAATGTCTACGCGGAGGTCTACGTACAGTGATTACTTCAACTCTCTATTGGCTGCTATGACAGTTGACAAGTTGAAGGGCCAATCAAATTGCGAAGGACGTGCACCACCTGAACGTAAGCACTGGAAACTACAGCCGTGAATGATCCAAGGTGCAAATATGACATATATGATGATGTTACCTGAGTAAACATGATGACAAAAATGTATTGTTGGTTGCATACGAATATGTTCACGTGGTGTTTAATCATTGTTGAAGACCCGGTATTTATAATTTCAGTTTAGTTACCTTTAGAAAATTCAACTCATAAAACTGCTGGACAAAATTTTTTCTCTTCCTACGGACTCGTGATTTTTTTCAAAGACAATTTTCGTTTAATTCCCAGGCAACACAATTCTCATTGAAATGTCAAGTTTACTTGGGAATAAAAAATGTCTCATGTAATTGATTATAAGTGGCTATACGTTCCTTTCTTTGCGATTTGAAAATACCAATTACATTCCGTGTGACTTTGACATCAAAATAGTTATTATCCTAACAAGTGCGCAAAGTGTTACTTTTCCGCACGGAAATACATTTTTGCGTGCGGAAAAGGCACTTTGCGGACGTGTTAGGAACAACGTTTTTCCTAAGAGCTTCATATCAGATAAAAAGGAAAATAAAAAAATATATATAACTTATTGAAAAATGTAACTATACAACAATCACATGTAACAATAAAATATAATGATAGAAAATCACATTTTCCCTACGAGCTTCATATCAGATAACAACGAAAATAAAAAAAACAACTTGAATTACAATTTATTGAATAATTTTTAGTTACACTTGATAGAATTAGCTAAACAACAAACAATTACATATCAATAAAATATAATGATAGAAAATTCAATCATTTGTTCCTAATATTCATATTGAGGTGAAATACAAATATCGGGAAGAACGGTTGAAAAGTAAAAGGGATAACGGCTTCTTATAGTGCATACAATAGTCTACAGCAACTGAAATGAATATAAATGTTCCATACCAGTGCGATTTTTGGGTAGTTTCACTTATCCGCACGCCGTGCGCACTGAGTGCGGAAAAGTATTACTTTGCGCACGCAAATGAGTGCGTAAAAGTACTACTTTGCGCACGCTCGTAGGAAAATAAACTTCAGGAATCTCTTATCAGGATAAATTACTACTAACTTGGTGGTTTCAAGGGACATTATTTTTATGGCTAGTTTTTCTCATTACATTATCTACTGTAGAAGTCTGGTGAGACTAATAACCTATGGATTAAGAAATTGAAAGCCAAAAAACGAGTCCAAAAATATATGCTCTTACTGCTATTACTAGGCATTTGAATTGATTGATATTTATAGGAAAGAAACATGTACCAATAGGTAGTCAGGATTAGAGTGCCTGGAACATCTCATTTCATGCCTTTTAAAACATCTGACACAATAGCTATTTGTGTATTTAGAGCGCAAAGTGATAGATTGTCGCTCGACAAAGAAAGTTACCGCGCGATGCGGAGCGGAGCGCGGTAATCTTTGGAGAGCGGCAATAACACTTTGTGCTCGAAATACACACGAGACTTTTTCTACTAACGCAGCTTTTGGAAATAACTACCCTGAAAGTATGAGCGATTGAAATAGTTGAAAAAGTTCTTATACATATGTCCAAAGGAAACAAAAAAAGAAGAATTGAAATAACTGACAAGCCAGAAAAAAAATGTCGAGCCTACCGAGAATTGAAACTGGACCACCAAACCACCAGCGTGGCAACCTGAGCTTCAGACCTCTGAGCCATAGTACGATAAACTCTGCAATCGAATTGTACATGACTCATTGATGCAATAAAATAAAGATACACTGTCTTTCTGATGACAACAAAGAGTTTAAATATAAAGTATAATTCATCGTTTTCAATAGATATGCTTCATCGGGAGCTTCTTGTAGAAATTTGTTGGTATATATCTTCAGCGGTTAATGTGGTGGATTCTTCTCGCTTTATATCCAATAGATTGAGAAATGCGATAAGTTTCAGATACTTATTGATTCCGATAGTATCTTTAACATTCAAGCATGTATACGTACCTCGATACGTACCATCGAATATATAGACCAATGAGTTGATGACTTCAAAGTCTTTGATTTCTACCAAAATAAGCCAGTAAAATGTTTTCTGAATACATATTCACCACCTCGGAGTGACATCAATTTATGAATGTATCATATTGTAATTCATATTTCTTCCTTGATTTCTCCGGTAAGAGATTCAAACTCTTGCGCTTTCTGCTATATCATCATAGTAAGGAGGTGTGTTTGATGATTCACTGTCACTATTCTCCATCATAAAAGAATTAGGGGTTTTCAAGAATAGATAAGTATAGGTTACAGAGATGTGCGAGCGTTTTTTCAATATTTCCGCTCACGAGCGCAAATGCTGTCAAAGAATGACCATTTCTTGGAAAACGTCAACTTTGTGCTGGAATTTAAAAGCGTCAAAGGCTACTTGTTGCTGTTTTTTAAATGATGGAGATTTTTCTGTACCCCTTCCCCTTCATTGAACGAACGCAGACATATTTTTATTTGAAACCCTAACAGTAGCATAACACCAAATGTACATGATGCTCATTTTGTAGTTATATCAATATTACATCATTGAATGTATTTCTATGAAATTAATATTGGAATTTAAAGCTTTAGCGAACACTTGAAATGTCTTCCCGTCTTGGGCAACTTAATCATAAATGCAAGGCCAGATTCTCCCTCTGGAACCGCAGAAGGGTATGCGGCAAATCATGGGGAATGAACCCCAAAGAGATTTACTGGATTTACCAAACAATGGCTAAACCAATGGTCACGTATGGCTCGGTAGTCTGGTGGACTAAAGGTCTGCAAGGGCAAAGATTGCTGGTTTACAGCATTACAAGGGCGATGTCCTCTACTCCAACGGCAGCGATAGAAAACCTCCTGAACCTCACTTCCCTCCACATTGTCTTGGAGAGGGAAGCCAGGATGGTTTGCTACAGATTCCTGTCACTGGAAAAACAAACTCTAGGAATAGTTCCCGACATGTTGGCTACTCAGACATACGTGAAAAAGTCTTTCAAAATCCTCTTTCCGAAGACAGACTAGTGGGTAAGTGGATCAGTCCAATTCCCAGAGACCGAACACGTAATGTACAAAGATGGTTCGAAAACCCCTCTTGAAGTTGAAGCCGGTGTGTTCAGCAGAAAACCGAAGACGGAAATCTCTGTCAATATCGCTAAGTATGCTAGAATCTTTCAGGCAGAGGTCTTCGCAATTGTGTGCTAGAGAGTTGACGAATACACTTGTAAACGAAAACATCAGTATTGTATCGGACAATCAGGCTGCTTTTAAATCCCTGAGCTCCAACAAGATAAATTTCAAGCTTGTATAAAGCTGTATTGAATCCCTAGAATGCCTGGGTGCAAACAACAGAGTTACTTTGCTGTGAGTGCCTGGACACCAGGGTGTGGACGGCAACGAGGAAGCCGACTTCCTTGCCAAACAAGGAAGCGAATCTCTGTTCATAGGACCAGAACCATACTTTGGGATCACCGCAAGTGCGGCCAAAACTACTATCTCGGACTGGGCGGAGCGGAAAAGACTCACGTACTGGTCTGGATTACCAGGATCAACCCATTGGAAGGCGTTTCTGCCTAAACCACCGAAGAATATAACCAGGCGGATCCTAGAATGGAGCAGGAGTAACCTGCGAATTCTGACACGACTGCTCACGGGACACTGTCGTCTAAGATACCACCTGGGAAGGATGGGTCGGAACCAACAAACGGACTGTCGGTTCTGATGTGTGGAAGACGAAACGGCTGAACACATTATGTTCATGCTCTTGCTTAGAGAGACTGAGGTTTGCCATATTTGGCTTTACCAACTTAGAACCTATCGATTTCAGACAAATCTCATCTAATTCAACCATGGGCTTTGTAAAAAGATGTGGATTGTACAGTGAACTGTAACGTCTAGGGGTGAGCTACAATAGACCCATCCACAGCCTTTAAAGGGCGTGTAATGAGATGTTCGAGGCACTCTAGTCAGGATTGCATTATTCTACTACATTTTGGGCAGGATAACTAATGAAATGAAAAGAAAATGTTGATTTTGAATGTACTTCAGTTCTCAATATTGTCAATAGTTTTGAGTATCCTTGACACTTAATAGTCATATTTAATGTATATCAAAATATATAATTTGCGTTAAAGCTGCACCAGAACCCAATCTTCGTGAATCTCGTTATGTAAGTATCCGTCATCCTCTGATATTGTTTCAGAGTAGTTCAACGTATTTACTTCAAATCAAAGACATTCAAGAAACAGATGCTGGCTACTATCAGTGCCAAATATTGATATCTCCCAGTAACAGAGTGACAGCAGAAGTTGAATTGCAAGTTAGAAGACCACCTTTTATATCAGACAACTCTACCAGATCTATAGTTGTTTCAGAAGGAGAAGGTAATCTTGTGTTATGTTGTTTTCTGCAAGTACTGTCAAATTCAGTGTAATTTGTTGAATGTATTGTCTATTTGTTATTTTGACTTGACTTGATTTACACAAATGTTTTAATACCATGACATGTTTTGCTAACAAAACAATGTTGCAAGGCAAGATCTTAGTTTTTGTGTTGGTTATACATTGGAACACATAATTTATAAATAAACCGATGAGTATATACATGATTTCGGAAAAATGGTACTTAAATTATGTCATCAAATAGACTAATTTTCTGTTCTTCGGTCTTATTTCAGTGTGATCCGAGTTGTTAATGTATCTTGCTAGAATATTTACAAGTGACCAATGTTGATCGGGATCTGTTCTTGATGGTGTAGTAGGTTTAGAAGGATAACTTGGTGAATTCGGAAAATTCAGGGACCCGCTGTTTCAACTAACTGAGGGTATCATAGAAAATGTTTCCCAATTAATCTATCTGGAAGAGAAAATGTATTGAGATGGGGTCCAATTTTTACGAGGAATTGTAGATATCCACTTTATTCGCAGTTCTTCGTCTTTAGAAAATTTAAAAATTGATACATACTTGTGTTCAAATGCGTAATTTCACTTACATCCTGTCACACAATAATTATTATTCGGCATCTTGTAATAAAAAACGTCGAAATTACTTACTTTTCTTCCACAAATAACCTCAATTCAAACACTATTTTTGATGGACTTTCACACACACATAAACACATGGCACATCAATTTATTCTTGGAAAATAAACAAATTCACTCCGTAGTACTCACATGCCGTATGGTGGGCGGAGAAGGACCTATCAGACAGAGATGTATAGAAATTTAACTGGTGGGCTCACTCTTCAATTGTTTCGTCAGACTAACTCTCGATATGGAACAATTGCAAGCGAGTTTTGGACGTGGGGTTCAGGTATTTGACGATAGAGGCGCCATAATCAGAAAATCGTTCAAAAACCTTATAAATAAATACTGTGCTCAACATTTTCATTCAAATTTCAATTTGAAATAGAAGCAAGAAATGTTTTTTGTAGCCGATTTTAATGAGCTTCACTTCTTTCATGAATTTCCTCTTCGAAGAACCAGAACAAAGAATGTATCAACTATATTGAAATAGACCGATATCGAAAATCATAATACACAGATATGGTAACTGGTACTCACCTTAGAAATTTATTCACACCAGTTCACGCTAATATTTCAAATCACTGAAATAATACTGTTGTAGAACAGAGATTTTCTTTTTTCTATAGTGAATTAGGTATTATTCACAAAATTCAGAAACTACGGAACACGTCCCTAACGAACACTTGACCCCAATCTCAAAAATAACCATTTTTTAGCTCAAGAATATTTTTGACATATTGACGTTTCGATCCTTTGATCAGAAATCAGTTTACTGCTCTGATCCAAATCATATGCGTATCCAAATAGTTATCGGTCGGTAATATGTTTCCTGTAAATATGGATTGTAACCAGGATGAGCTTAGCGAGATTTACCCACGTCAAGTATGTTTATCAAAGATTTATCAGAGTAGGCGCCATCGAGAAACTTGCAAACGACCTTCAATACGGAGCAAGCGCACCAGTTCTTACTTCCATTATTTATCAGACAGTGTTGCCTAACTGCATTCTACACAGCTTTCGTCTTCAAAGTTGGCTATGCAAGAACGTGAAAATTTTCTAGGGTTAGAATAACAAATAAAATACTTAGTTTTACTTCGCAATAATAGAGGTCAAGTACGATAAGGCAATGTTTCCATTATTTTTTCAATGTACAGTGAATATTATAATCTCGCGTACTAGGTTTTCATTGAGAGCGACATTGGTTGAGTGGAATGGTTTCGTTTTTCAGCTGTCGAAATGGAATGTTACGCTGGAGGTTACCCATCGCCGAGGATTTCGTGGAGGCGAGAGAACAACGCCATTCTGCCGACGGGCGGATCGATATACAGGGGCAACATTCTGAAAATCAAATCGATCCGCAAAGAGGACCGCGGTACTTACTACTGCGTTGCTGAAAACGGAGTTGGAAGAGGAACGAAACGTAAGAACAGTCATTATCGTCAATAAAAGGGTGTTTTCTAATTTTTCGTCGTGAAAATATTTGAGGTTTTTAATGATCATTTTATGATCGATGTTATATTTTCGGAAAAAATGCACGGAAATGAAGAATAGCTATTTATCCAAAGTGAGGCATTTTTTGCCCATATGAAAGTTGCAGAATAACGAAGTAACAAATAAACGCCGATAAAATTGATCCTATTAGGGTACTGATATACAGGGTGAATCTGAAAGTGAGGTGTTTTATTTAACAGGGTTTATATCTCGCCAAAATAAGTTGTTTGGCCAAACATTGTTTATGTAAAAAATGTAAGATAACGGAGGTGCAGGCATTTTAAGGTTATTTACATTGAACATTTTATTTCATTAATCTAAGATAAATAATACAACTGTAGGGTTTATTTCCCGAGAAAGGATCATCAGATTGATTGCAGGAGTATCATCTACATTCTCATGTCATAGCCTTTTCAAAAATAGTTATTCATTATACAAGGGAAAAAAGTTGTAGATTTTAGCTCCAGGTTGTGTGCAACAAAACGTGAGCTGCGTTGTAGGCATCTTTGTCATTCTTTTGAAGTAATCAAATATCTGATGTCACTTCTGTCAGTCTGATTCTGTGATTTGATTTTAAAAAATTGGTATATATATGTGATATATATCCGGAAAAAGACTCACTTTTTTCCCACGGGAAAAAAGTAATTTATGAAAAGTGACATTTTAAAACCTGCCAACAGAGATGGAAAGCCTAACTTTTTTCCTGTCACAGAAAAAAATGTGTATTAATTCCTCGTCTAATACACATTAAATAAAAAAGACAAAAGAAACTTGAAACAGTTTTAGTTTCACAGTTGCGGTCGCTTGTGCCGCTTGCTCTAAGATATTATCGGGAATTTCTGGATTTCAAGCTCGAGGAGGGCATACTCGTTATTGATTATATCTCGGAAGTCGGCTTTTTGTTTTTTGTGATTAAATATATTTTTTTGCATTTTTTATGTTACTTTTAGGTACTGCTGAATTATTGTTGATAAAAATTGAAAAATGCCATAATTTCTTATAACACTCGTATCTTAAAAATAAGATATTGAGGTGAATTAAAAACCATTGTGTTGGTAAGGAATTACAATGCAATCCAGCCGCTCACTTTCTCCACAGGGCGTTAAGAATTAGAGGGTAAAAAAGTAATTTTTGTTTTTCCCTGTATAATGATCAAGCCATCAGCATTTCTAGAGAACTGAAATTTAAGTTGACATTTCAAAACATGAATCTATGATTTGGTGGAAATTTCATCGAAATCAGACAAGATTTGAAAAAGTTACAAAGCGATCAATTTAGCTGAAATTTTTACTGGCCGGTTTTTTTTTGCCGGTGAGTGTAGATGAAAATAAGGTGTTATCAAAGAAGTACAATGACAAATATTGATCATCGTCCGTCCCCTTCCCCAGGCAATATCGCCGTGGAGGTGGAATTCGCGCCGGTGGTGGTGGTGCCTCGGCCGCGCCTCGGCCAGGCGCTCCAGTTCGACATGGACTTGGAGTGCCACGTGGAGGCCTATCCGCCGCCAGCCATCACCTGGGAGAAGGACGAAGTGACGCTGTCGAACAACCAGCACTACCGGATATCGCACTTCGCTGTTGCCGACGAGTTCACGGATACCACTCTCAGGTAGGTGCAACATTCTACTACCATCCATACCATCTATTGATATCAACCCAGATGAACTCAATCAGTTTTATTGCTCCATTGCTGAAAACAAAACATCGCCTCTAGATCAATGAACTCAATACAACTGGAAGGGAGCATGATTTATGATGGTAACCTGTCTCTTTCCAAACTCGTGTTGTTTAGTAGTGGATTGGTGTTTACGTTTGCTTTTATGAAATAATTGAAGTACTTTAGATTTTTTTCTCACATCTAAACACACAAGAAAGTGAAGACATAAGTTCATTGTCTTTGTTTATGTGAAATATCTATTCATTTGGCGTGTTTTGTTTTATAAAAAGGACTGAATTTGTTGGTGTAAACACTGTAAACTGATTGTTGAGAAGGTTTTGATAAACAATGGTGATTTATTGTGTCACCTTTGGATGCAAGAACAAGCAAGACAAAAGGAAATTGTCATTCCATGGGTAAGTTGATTATTGTTCAGATTTTTGGAAAATATAGTTCTTGAAATGATCATCAGTTAGGTGTTCCCAGTCTCAGAATATGTTCAAAAACTATACCCATATTATTTGTCAAAGTTAAATACTTCCATGACTTCTCCATAAACATATTAAGTAATATTATTTGTTGCAGTTTTCCATTCAGACATTCTTGAATTATGGATTAAGGCAGTTCGTAGAGATAGTTCCACTCCATCTAAAACCAGCAAGCTTTGTGGAGAGCATTTTCTGCCAACTGATTATTTATTTAGACATACCAGGTACTGCTAGGTGATTGAAACCAGATGCTGTACCCAGTATTTTGTTATTTCCTAAGCATTTGTTACCAAAAACTACTGATCTTTGAAGGAAAATAAGAAAACTCATAGGTACCTAGTTGATTAATAATGAAAAAAAAAAGTATGTTTGTCCCTTTTTAAAATAAAAAAACTAGCTAGTAATTTATTTTCAGGATGCATCTTTGGAAGTTCATAACATTGGGTCCTAAGGAAGATGTTTCTCATATTATGGACTTTACCTATGACTTCCAGCTCCCAAGTTTCGAAGTTCATCAATAAAGAAACCCAAACTGTTCCATTGGAGAAGGATATTGTATTGAGAATTGTATTTTTTCAATTTATAATAGGGATATGTTTGTAGGCAGTGACCTTATGGTAAAATAGGAACCTATGGAAATTATGCTCAAAATGGACCTTAGGTAGTCAATACCATTCAAGAACCTCTTTTTTCAAATTTTTCCTATCGTTTTTCCTTCTCTTCTGTTAGTGCTGAGACATTGTACTTCGCTCATCCTGTACAATATATTGTGACATTTGAATGAAAACATATAATTTCAATTTTGTATTCATTCGACTTCCTAATCCTGTAAGAATAAGAATGAAATTACATTTTTGAGTCAATAAAAAAATCAAACATAATTTTTTAATGATAATTGATTGCAACATTTTCCTTTTTCCTATATGAATATTTTTATTTAATCACGTTTACTCTTAAATAAAAGCAAAAAACGAGAAAATATTTCAAATAATGCGAGCGCTTCCCATTAGCGAACATAAGATAGAGAGAGATAGGTATCCGTAAACACTGCGGGTTGCCTGAACAATATTTTTGCCTCACTCGTCGTTCACAGAGGGTCCCTTCCAGTTGTTTATATTCAGTTCATTGCTCTAGATAACCCGATTAGTCAGATAATAATGATAATACTATCCACCGACTTATTACTTTATCTAGACTGCTAGTAGTCATATCGCAGCAACCCGAAAATGTAAGATCATTTGCTCGCCTGAAAACGCTTCTGCTCAACACGCAAGAACCCCCAAGCTGTCGTTCATGACTGACGTTTTTTTTTTGTCGGAGTGGTTGAAATCCTTTATGGACACCATATGGGTCTAATCCTCCATATGATAGTGTGGGAGTCCCCTGACTCTAGCCAGGGTATACCCACTAAACATTTCACCCCGCTTGTAGGCTCGTCTGACCGATGTCTCCGACGATACTCAGGCCTAGTGGCCCATTGTATCTTACCTAGTAGTTTTTATTGTACCCACTCCATTATCTCTGTTCCTTGAACAAGTCTGTACCGGGTGACACTTTATAAAGTACCACCCCCTATAACTCTTTTATTTTTGACAGTAGAAAAAAAAATAAAAAAACAGCCTTACAGGGGATTTTTTTTCCTCCTCGAATCAACTGATATATTTTTAGTATATCAAAGGATATACAGGGAGCAGGAAAAAGTGCAAAAAGTTTAAATGGAACGCCCTATATATTTTCGCCCCATTAGATAGACCTTTCGAAGCGCTTCCCGAAAATACCCCACTCAATACATTTATCTTCAGTATTTCTCATAATATAGACGTTTGAACCTGAAAAAAGTGTTTATCGATTTTCAAATGATTTTTGAGAGTATGGTATGACAGTGAATCTAGGTAATTAATAAATCGTTATGACATTCAATTCTCATTGACAGTAGGTAATCGCTGAAACTCAGAATTGTAATATTAATTTAATTTCCGAAAATTAACAAAAACAAAATAACAAATTTATTGATCACAACTAATATTTCCACCCTCGTTCTGAACACATTCTTCGTAGCAAGTCTGTAAATGGTTTATAGCATTTTCTATAAAATGGGCATGTCTTTCATTCAGCATATTCACTTCATGTCTAATGAAATATTTGATATCATCAGCATTGTTCAGATCCCGTTGATAAATTTTATTCTTGATATATCCCCAAAGAAAATTATCCATGGGTGTAAGATCTGGGCTGTTTGAAGGCCATGCGATAGTCCCATTCCGACCAATCCACTCTTCATGATTTGTATCTAGAAAATGTTTCACTCGTTGTATAACGTGAGGTGGAACCCCGTCATGCTGATACACTATTCTTTGATATCGTCTCAAAGGTAAATTTTCCAATATTTCAGTTACTCTGTCTTCCAAAAATTCATAATATGATTGACCAGTCAACGTAGTTTCAAAAAAGAATGGGCCTAATATTTTATGGTCAAGTATTCCACACCAAACATTAACAGTTTGTCGACCTTGCCAACGCACTTCTCTTGCGAAATGTGGATTTTCGGATGCCCAGTATCTGAAATTCTGTCTATTAGGCAGCCCGCTTGTAGAAAAACTTGATTCATCCGTCCATAATATATGTTTGAAGAAGTTTCTATCATCATTCAATCTATTCAACATCAAGTTGCAAAAATTCAGTCTTTGATTTCTATGAATTTCTGTCAATTTTTGTACCGTATGGAATTTATAAGGTCTAAATTTATATTTTTTCAAAACTACGGATACTCCCCCTTGAATTCTTATGTGGTCCGAAACGTGCGCTTAATTCTTTTGCCGAAATCCTCAATGACTTTTTCGGATTTTCTATATGATTCAGTAAGGTATTTAATTCATGATTTTCGTCATTTCCACATGTCCTTTTTTTTTCGTTGTAAATTGCAAGTCCTTCTAAACTTCAGGTAAATGTTCTTGATGGTTCGCCTTGATGGAATATTACCATTCGGAAAACGCAATTCATAGCCACGTCTTGCAGCGGATGCGTTTTGATTATTTTCTATGAATAAAGTTACTATTTCTTGCTTTTCTTCATTTGAATACACCATGATTCAAGAAAAACTTACTTATAGAGGAAATTAACAAGAAGTGATGAAGGGATTAATCTTCACTAGAAATGACAATGAAATGTCATAACAAACCTTCATTATTGTTGCAGTTACTCATGGTTACCTCATGGCATACTATCTACAATCATAGAACAGTTATTCAATCATAAATCAATCAAAACGACTTTCAGGTTCAAACGTCTATATTATGAGAAATACTGAAGATAAATGTATTGAGTGGGGTATTTTCGGAAAGCGCTTCGAAAGGTCTATCTAATGGGGCGAAAATATATAGGGCGTTCCATTTAAAATTTTTGCACTTTTTCCTGCTCCCTGTATATCCTTTGATATACTAAAAATATATCAGTTGATTCGAGGAGGAAAAAAAATCCCCTGTAAGGCTGTTTTTTTATTTTTTTTCTACTGTCAAAAATAAAAGAGTTATAGGGGGTGGTACTTTATAACGTGTCACCCGGTACAAATTCTTCACCGGATGTGAGTTGAATATTTCTGGTTCGCCGACTGGTTGCCCAAAAATCTTCTGTCTTTTGCGATCCAATGCCTCGCATCTGCACAGTATATGTGATACTGTTTCTGGTTCCTTTCCGCATAGTCTGCAGTTTGGGTCGCCATCATACAGTCCCATTCTGATGAGGTGCTCCTTTACTGGCGCATGGCCAGTCATGAGTCCCGTGACAGTTTTTATCTATACTCTGTTCAAGTTGAGCAGGTCTACAGTTCGTTTATGACTTGAGACGTTGACGTGGTATCGAAATCAATCTAGTATCCATTTTGTTCTTAAGCGGCGGCAAGGTGGATGGCGTCGTCTCCAGTGTTTTATTTATGTCAGTGATCGGCCGAATAAAAATATATCAAAATTAAGTGGTGATTTCAATGTTTTCGTGTCATTTTCGCCAATCCTAGGAAATATGAAGTGGTTTGTTCTTTTCTGTAAAAATCCCATGATTAATAATACTATACAGGGTGTCCGGAAATTATGCGCAAAAATCAAGGAGGTGATTCTACATGATGAAATAAGAAATTCATTTAATATTTGGGTCCGGAAATGCATAATTTTCATAATACAGTATGTTAAACTTTAAAAAAAAATAGTTTTTTTATGAATATCTCAAATGTACTCCTACCGATCTTCTTGAAATTTGACAATGATATTTTTTGTCATGAAGGGCTGATATTGCCATAATTCAATTCAAATTATGAACTCCATTGGCGTTCCATGGGGCAACCTACCGAATATTATTGTCAATAAAATGTTTGTCACTGATTTTTTTGAATTCTCTATCTTCATTATCTTTTAGCCAACTGAAAATACAACATTTTGGTTTCTTGAATTGTTTTGATAATTTGCTTCATTTCCATGGAAAAACTTAATACCAATTTATTGCATAAATTTGTGCCAAAAACTTCCTTCAAAAACTGGGGTGAAAATAAATGCGTTATCCATGTCCATAGACATAGAATAAGAATGAAGATTCATTTTCTTCAAATATTTCATGATAAATGTTTGACACACTCTACACTCTGTATATTGGGAACTATGTATTCTCGGTCCAGGAAGGCGTAGTTTTCAATGATACAAAGAGTGCCAAACATGTATTATAAAATACTTAATATTCATTCTCATTCTATGTCAGTGGACATGGATCACACATTTATTTTCACCCCTGGTTTTGAAGGCATATTTTGCACAAATTTATACAATAAATTGGTACTTCATTTTTTTCACGGAAACAAAGCAAAATATCAAACTATTCAAGAGACCAAAATGTTTTCTCATGCAGAATCCCCCTCTTGATTTTTTGCGCATAATTTCCGGACACCCTATATTGGATTTCTTTTCATTGGTGAGTTTGTGGGTAATGAATCATTTATTATTTTAATTTGCTTTCGTCAGTTGAGCAAGTATTTAGATCGAATGGAATCATGCATGTTTTGTATATTTATTCAGCTGTGAAGAATTTTGAGTTCAGGCGTGACGTTCCATACCTGCTCATCTATTTTGGATTAAAAGTTTACTCCTTCGATAATGACTCTAGAATTCTTAAGGATGAGAGAAATTAATGGTTTGAGGCTATTAGGATACCATTGGATCTTAGCTACTTAGGAATATCATGTTCAGACTATTTCACATCAGATACCTTCATCCAAGACATGGAAACCATATCCAAATTCGATGTTTTTAGAATAGAGTAGACCCTTCCCAACTTTATTCTTACTACTATTATTATCTTATTTTCAGGGTGATCACCATAGAGAAACGTCAGTATGGCCAGTACACCTGCAAGGCTGCAAATAAATTGGGAACAATGGAAGGAAGGGTGGAGCTTTTTGGTGAGTTTTTTCTGTTCTTTTTCAATGGAATGTTTTGTGCTGCAAGTAAATTATCATTGTTGGTATTTTCATGAATGGTTTTTCATTCAATGATGATCTCCACGCAAAAATATCAACTTCTTTATATTCCATCGCCGATGACTGATTTGGAAGTATACATTTATTTATTTGATTTTATATGTTACTTGAAATAGAAAAGTTTTTCTTATATTGATATATCATGTCATTTGTTTGTATGTATTTCATTCACACTTGAAATAAATACTTTCCAATCTATTCAATTCACTATTGTAACATGTTTAACAAGCCTTGAAAAAAATTATCTAAAGTGATAGGGTGACTAGTCTCTGTAAAATGTCAGGCAACACTTTCTTTATCAAACCGATTATTTCTGAACTGAGTAATATGTTCTTTTAATCTTGTGCCAATACCTCGACGTGTTTGCCCAATGTATATAATGGTATTCGCATTCAGATAATTTCTGTAGAATAATCCGATAGTTGGGAGTTAGTTGATCTTTATTTCATATTTAGTTCTACTGTAGAAGACAGCTGAGTTTCCAAAATATTTATTCATTCTTTTCTAAATATTTTTGTGGCATCATGGGTATATTTTTGTGCCTGTTTGTTTGAACCTTGTATTTAATTGAAATTATATTCTTAAATCCCATCGCATTTATTTTATCATTGATGCTGGAATGATAATGGTCACAGCTTCCTAATTTTCTGTTGGCGAATATTGATTTCAAGTGTTTATCAAAAACAAAAATGGAAATTACTCCGAATTTCTGGCTACAAGAATATTATTTGTTGGTTTTATTATGACGTTTAATGAGTGAAAAAAAAATAGAAAATAATGAATAACGGATAGAAAACGATGGCAAATAGTAATGCAAGATATATTTCCACAAGGCGCTTTTGAAGTGTTTATTTTTGTACTTTTAAAATGCTGCATGTGCTGTGTAAGATAACTCGATTTTTTCGTCGTGAATTGGCAATATTCAAAGGCCGTGGACATCTTGGAGTGGCGACAAATATACAGGGCGATTGATTTGAAGAAATTGATTTTTAGGCTTTCGGAAACCTATATAAAATATATAAGTGTGTAGTATCTCAAAAACCATACCGCCAACATAATTTTCCGTTAGACCCGTTCTTAATGCAACATAATTTTGATTAACTTAATAGATATAGAAGATGTTCAATATCGCCCTGTGTCATATAAACAGAAACAATTATTATGCAAAATCTGATGAGATCATCAGCGAAGAGACATTTCTCTTCAGTGAGATCATTTTGAATTTCACAAACAAGTAGGTCAGGAACGTGGTGATCACAAGGTTCTATCTTTAACGGAGAAACCTGACAGTCTCAACCAAAACGGGATGCACTGTACAGGGCGTTCCCTTATATTTTGACCCCTACCTACAGCTTCAACTATACGAGGTGGAAAAAAACTTCGAATATGAAAGTTGTAGAGTTCCATCTGCATTATCCTTTGGCACAACAAATGCAAATCGCAAAATAAAAGAAAAGGACTCAAATCTGTTTTTTTAACTCTAGTGAAAGATCTTTTTCTCCTGTTCACAAATATATTTAATTTGCTGATGTTTGATCAAGCCATTTTTCACTTATTTAGCATTGCATCTAAGTTGCCAATAACATTTAGATGGCTGTGAACACAACAGAAATGGCATGGAAACAAAACATGTATTTTTTGACATGTCTGTCAGTTTTTCAATAAAAATGAGTTACTCAGTAGAGGAAAAATTAATCATTCCAAAATTACGTCATTTGACAGGTCGTTGGAGGGCAAACATTGAATTTTGTCCTATGAAGTAAGAAATAGTTGGATCGTTTTCCTTGGAACCCCAGATGGATCCCAAATGAATTTCATGATTTTGTTGGGTGAATCTGTTATTGTATTCTGGATGTGGGCGGGGCTTTGCTCATCAAAGGTAACCAAACATAGTTTGTGTGCCCTCGAAGAAACCGTGTCATAATCACGTGTTCTAGAATGGCCAATACGAGATAGTAGGGACGTTCTTTTATTCACTGGTGGCTCCATCAATCCACCAACTGCGTTCATATATTCTTTGGTGGATTTCATTTTGACGTAACCACGCCTTCTTATTACTGTTGTGTCAACCAAAATCGCAAACTATTCCACCGATGTACAGAGATGGTGGACGAATTTTGGTGGATTCCAAAATGACAGGGACAGCGTAACCTTACAAAACTAAAAACAAAATATTGGATTTGAAAGCTGTTTGCCATTTGCCTAGGAAAAAATATGGATGAATTAATCGAAATCAGCCTAGAATATGAAAATAAAAGAATAACTGCATTATTGACACCAACAGAAATTGAAGAAATTCCGAGTGGTAGGTACTTTTTTCATTCCCATCATGAATTTCAAGAAATTAGTGCGAACATTCGGGAAACTTGAGTACCAACAGAGAATTCGCATTAATGACTCTATCCATATGATCATGAGTTAATGCAATGTTTTGTATGGGTTGTTGAGAATTTTCAACCTATCTCGTCTACTCCACAACATAAGCAATATTTCATCCTCGAAGAACTTTTGGATCTGGAGACAAGGACTCCAACAACACTTTTAATACATCTTTTCTATTTTACATTAGTTTTCGCCATTTCTGAGCTTCTAATTGAAAACAATCTAAATCCTTATCAAATCACGAAAAGAAAAATAAATGAAGGAAAAAACAGTTGTGATTGTCATGTCAAATAACTGCGTTTTTTTTAACTCTGATGATTCCAACAATTCGATGCACTTTCATCAATGATGAACATGTGGTGTAAAAAAGAATGCCTAGTAAGGTTATATTATGAAAATATTGCAACAATGTCAGTAGTGCAGCAAGAATTTAGTCGGAAACTGCTCAAGGGAATATTAACAAATTATAGGCCATAGGGGAATGTCGCCGAGTGGCGATCATGCTAGTTGGGCGGGTAAAAGTACCCTGTACAGCTAGCATGATGACATTGATTGCCAGATTTGAGTTTGGTCTGGTCTCGTATCTGTCAGGGGTTTTTTGTTTCTGTTAGAAAACGCAAGTTGGAGAATCATTTCTCTAATCTAGTCAATTTGTCAATCCAATCATTCCCTATGGAGTCTTTTCCATCGGAAGGAAGTTTCCATGGTTTCCCATGCAAGAATTCCCAGGACGAGGAAGATAATCTTCGACAATATTAGTGAACAAAAGAAAGAGATCTTTTTTGCAAAGTTACTAGTGCAAACTCAAAATTTTCCACAAAAATCTTGATAACCCGAAAACGGCACGTTGATTTCATAAAATACAGGGTGTTACATTCAAAATAAGGACGTTTGTGTCCACATCCGGTTCAACCGAAAGTTCTACGCCTGTTATTGTCGGATACACTGAATTTCAAACAAGTTTTGGTATATTCGTCACAATTCCATAGTTTTTTGGTACAACAAAAGCATATACATGTTATTAATTTCTTGTTGCATTGATTGTGCTTCTCATTTCGTTGCTCCGCCAGTATCATCGCTCCTGTCATGATCACAACTCCCAACATGTTCTCGGCCTAGCTAAATGCAGTTCCATGTTGTTCTATCAATTTTTTTATCCGGTATGGCATCTACATAATATATTTTCGAGTTGTGTGTAGTTTAGTTATAGCTAGGTATTATTTGTGTGTAGAATCGATCATCCCTGTATGCCCGCCTGCCTGTGGTTCTGCTCGATATGCTGGAGCAGCTACCATCTCTACCAGTACCGCTGCATTATTTATCACAATACTCATCTTTATTTTTAGGTAAGTCTACGTAATGATTATTCAGAATCAACATTGATCTTTTGAAATTTCTGTTCACTTCACTGGGACTGGAATTCCTAAATGTACTTGACACTGCTGTTTTGACGTTTTTTGGCTGTAGCCAAGGTGTTAGAAATGTTTTCCCGTAGTTTCCATGTCATCGCAACGTCAAATGATTACCTTGGCTACCGCGAATACAAAAAAACGTCAAAACGATTTTGAAGTTATCATATATGTTTTGTCAGACAAGGACAAGAATTTGTTTTTCGCCTAGTATCTAGATAAAGACTTCTCGCATCTTCCTTCCTCTACATGTTCAGGGAAGAGTACATCTATACATTTATATTTAAGAATATGCTCTCTTCATTTTAAATAATTTCAACAATGCAGTGTTGCCGCTTCTATCAAAAAGTAGCAACAACTTTGTTATTTCAAATAGAATATTTCATTGCATTTTTAGATTCTCCCTGAAGAGCTGATTTCATCGATACATCACACTTGGGGTCTATCGGAAATGATTACAGAGATATAGGGTGTTCATAATCGAGATTTTTCAATTTTAGGATTTGTTTATGTCGAAACGATTCATTATCGGACAAAACGGCTCACATGTTCCAATCTCAACTCTTGATTTACTATTAACTGATATTTAATCGGAACAGATACAGGGTGATCAGAATTCTGAATCTTGAACCACCCCGTATCTGTTCCGATTAGATATCAGTGCATAGTGAATCAAAAGTTGAGATAGGGACATGTGAGCCGTTTTGACCTATAATGAATAGTTTCGATACAAAAAACCTAAAGTTGAGAAATCTCGATTTTGAACACCCTATGTAATCATTTTCGATAGACTCGATGAAATGGGCTCTTCAGGGAGAATCTAAAAATGCGATAAAATACAGGGTGTGTTCCATTTGAAATATCAATGTTACTACTACTTTCTGGTAGAAGCGGCAACACTGCATTGTCGAAAATATTTCAAATGAAGATAGCGTATTCAAAAATATAAGTATGCACATTTTCATGGATTTTTCCCGACTGATTCTCAAAATAAAGAAAGTGTAAGATCGTCGTGACATACCCTGTATATCTTACTTTTTCAAAATTATTTCTTTTTGAAATATGGAATGATAAGGATGAAGGACCTCAATGGAGGCCGATGGCAAGTTGATATGTACATACAGAGTGAGTCATAACTATTGGGACATAGGCTAAGGGCACTAGGGCAAAATATGCCTCAATAAAATATTGCTGTGGAAAAAGATGTAGGCCGTTTCCATCGAAAAAGTAGGTATTGACTTTAAACTCGCCCCAAAATTCATTCACTGACAAGAAATGTAATTCACCAGTAACAATAATCTGACAGTCCAAAGCAAGCGTTTCATAAATGAAATAATATTTGAAATCCCCTTCCAAGACTTTGAACTGTTCAATTGCGTTTTTCTCGAAAACGAATGAAAATATCGTTTTTTAACAAGAGTATCAATATTACGTGAAAATAATGTTTATGTTATATATATTAAAGAAAATCACTAAAAAGTTTCGTCAAAAAAAGTCATCAGTTGGTTTCATCTTCAGGAATCATTCACGTACAAACTGTAAGATAATACATAAAATAATATTCCCTGTATAAAATTATGCTTCTGTGCCGATTTCGATAACAATTGATGAATATACAGTGAAATTATTAGCAAAAAACGAGAAAAAAATATTCAACTTCAACGCCCTGTATCATTTTCCATAGCAATATTTCAAGGCATATTCGGTCCTATCGCCATATTTCGGTCCAAACAATTCGCCCTCTATATATATATATATACAGAAATACATTGAGAATTCGCATTCTCTTTGTGATGAATATATCAACTCTTTATCGGTATATTCAACAGGAAACGACTACTTTCCTGGCTATTTGCCACGTCGAACATTGAATTATATCTGTTGAACATCCAAAAAGAGAACATAAAAATAAAAACCCTCTGAACTTGAGAATAAACATTCTCTTTCAAGTACTATCATAGTGTAATGATATTTCCCTTGGAGGGGCTTTAGAAACATCATCAGTAAGACAGGAGTACAACGCTCATCCTGTAACACGCATCCCAGATCGTTCTCCAACCTCCCAATGATTCCTACATGCACTAGCATATTTCCGAACACTCAATATATGCCGCAGTGACAGATAACGTCACAGAAGATTCTGGAATGTTCTGGAAACATTCGATGAAACAATTAGAGAGAGAGGTTTTGTTCTAAGAAGCTTCTAGAACAAAAAGAAGGAGACGGAAGATCATTCGAGAACGTTCTCGAACCAAAGCCTGCCATGTGTTCTCATATATAAGACGGCCGAACAACGGAGTGAGTCAGTCAAGCAGCGAGTGTCACAGAGACAGATATATACCGCGTGATATAAATCGTTTGACATAAATAGTAGTTATAAGTTCGATATAAATTAGTGTTTCTTTAGTTAAAATAAATCAGTTCGAAAATAAATAGTGTCGTGTTCGTTTCTGCACCGGAATAACGTAACAATATTATGAAATGATGATAAACTGAGCGGAGAGTGTTCATAGTGGTTCAGTTGAATAATTTTTGTAACAAAAATGTTCAGAGTTGGGATTTCAACTTCAAAGGAAGACATACACAAACAATCCATCTCTAAATAGGTATGTCAGTGTTCCACAAAGTGACTACTTTTCACTAAATCTCCAGTATTTTTACAGTTGAAAAAGGACACACTGTCCCCAATTTTCTCAATTTGACCACCTTCGACCAACCTTTGAAATCAATGTCATGTACGTTCGTGTACGGCCAGTTTTCCGCTTTTTCCATCAATTTATTTGTGGTTATGTATGACTGTCAGTGCTTATCATAGTGTCCGTACTCTTAATATACAAAAATGTCAAAACAGCAGTGTCAAGAACATTAAGGAACTCTAACTGGGATCACTCAGATGTATGACAGTTGGAGTTGTTTTTTCAAATGTTTATAATCATTTCATAACCAACTGTGAATATGGATCCCCATTTTTTTTATTTCTATGTAATGTGGAATATGAAAATGTCAGGAAACAAATACTAAATCATTTTATTATTCATATTTTGTTATTTACTTGTTCTTTAATTGCAGAAACTTCCGTTCCCAATAGTAACTATCCAGGACTTATCTGGATAAATCCGGGTAGAAGAAATTTGCCTGCACCATTGCAGAATCTCATTTACGTATACATAATTTTAGTTTTACGTCACTAGCATAAAACATATTTGCACATTATCTAATTGTACAGTTTTGAAGTACAAAATTATAATTGCACATTAATTTTGTGCGATGGTAAATTCTTTTTTTATAATCACTATTAAAAGTACGCCTTTTAACACTGAGATCATTTCAAGATACCAGTGTTAGAAGTAACTAGAACTATAAATATTATTTATTCATTCAGTACATTGATTGAGCATGAGTAAAAATACAACAATTAGTAATTCCTAATATTTTTTATCTATTACTTTGGCGGACTTTTAATAGTGTTTGTTGAAAAAATATATTATGATGTCCCTGTTAAGAATGCATTTAACACTACATCATAAATAGCTATTGTAATTTTCTATCTTTTTTTATGATTTATCCACATAGTATAAAAAAGGAAAAAAAAAGGAGGAAGGTATTTGCCACAGGCATTGAGTTTCTGCAACAAATCAAACAATAATTGTTCTGGAACAAAAAATAGGACTGCGAATTGGTAGCTTCATGCATTTTATACAAATTTTATACTTTTATAATTATGACTCGATTTTTATCCAAATGTTTTTATTACCTTTAAAAATGGGTGTGTTTTTATTTATATGGTAAAAGATATCGTGATATGTAGGTTTGCCAACAATGTATGTACATCGAGTTTTTTATACAAAACACTTATTTGTATTTGATATACTTTAATATATTTCCAGGATGTATGTTCTGCAAACTATGCAAAATGGGACCAAAAAAATGTATTTATTCATGCAGAAAGTTCATTGAGAAACTTGAAATATCACGACTAAGCGATTCTACGGGAATTAATTGTCAGCTGATGCAAGGCAGACTGTTTCGGCTTGCGAAGCCTCATCAGTTGCACTAGGTTAGCTGAAAATCAATTCACGGAGATGAATAAGCACATTTTTTTGGCCTTTTGTTGGGTTTGTAGACAGTCAAAAAGTAGTTGTATGGCCTATATTATAATTAAGAGCAGCTGTTGAACTCACATGTGCTCGTTTTTAGGTACAGTAGTCTTGGCTTAATGAATCTCAATACATTGAATAACGTGATATAAATGTTGATATACTCTTAGCGTTGTCATGACCACTCTTTTATTATTTTCATATAATTTTGATAGTTTAATTATAATAACGAACAGTTTTAGAGTTGAAGCATTTATATGAAGAAAGTAATTTTCGACTGAATGTATAATTTTCACGTTTAAGTCTGTATAATGTCTCCATTTTTTGATTGTTTGAATAAAATCATATTTATATGTGATTTGTTATTTAGAGGTGTACTTTATTCAAAGTTAGGGGGTGGTTCCGAGAAGTCTTACTAACCAGTCGAGTAACGTAAAATATTACATAACTAGTGATGACATGTTGAACTTGCCATTTTTCTCCAATAAATATATCAAACGAGCCTATTTCGTGAATTTAGTCGCCGATTTGTGATCATATTATTGTTTGAAGGATACTTGTATTTTCAACTCCGCCCTGTATCTCAAAAACATGAAGGATTATGAAAATTCTGTTTGCGGTATTATTCCATTCATAGAAAATATGGTAGTAATGGAAAAACTGCAACACTCTATCTCCAAAGTTGACTGAGATATCGCACAAAAGCATCGAAAACTGGACACACTGTACATATGACATTTATACAGTTCATACATTTGTACTGATGTCTGGTCACTCTGATCCTCACATTTGACCTAGAGTTGGGAATTTTTGATAATTGCATTAATTTTTTGTACATACCGGGTGTCAACGAATCTATTAGACAAGTCATAACTTCTAGACCATTAGGTGTATCAAAATGAGATTTGGTATAGGTAAATGGTATGTGAAGAGGAGAGTTTTCACATATTTTTCACTTCCCGGTCACTTCCGGTTTCACCGGAAATGGCTCCGGTTCTAAATTTTCAAATGGAACACCCTGTATATTGTAACATTTTTGGATTTCTGAGACAATTCTAGATCAGAATGTGACATTTTCGAAAGTTTTTATGTCTACTTAAATTTTTCGAAGTCACTTTTGAAATTACATCTAGGTGGCCATGATCGGAAGTAAACTAATCTAAGGACCTCAGGTGATATCAGAAAATTACAATCGCGAAGTTTTAGTGACAAGTATGATAGATATGAATAATACAAGTTGGCAAAATTACATTTTTGTGTCTTAACTGTTATTTTTCATATGGCGACCATTTTTTGACAAGCACTTTCCGAAAGAAGGATATTTTGACGAATCTAACGATACTAATTTATTTGCGATTGGATTACAAATGAGAACATAAATTAAATATTACTGACGAAATATTTCATAATAATTTATTCACTTTTGTCAAGTGTGCCATGGATAATAATTCAATTACTTTTGTAAGCACTTCCCGAAAAAAGGATATTTTGACGAATCTAACGATACTAATTTATTTGCGATTGGATCAACAAATTTGTTGTTGATTTTGTTGGGCCCAGTACCAAGAATTTTGCTTATTAAACAAGCCATTATTTGTAAATCGTGATTCGTCGGAAAATAGAATGAAGTTGATAAAATTTGGGTCAACTCTATGATTTTGAAGCAACCAATCACAAAACACTACTCGTCTATCGCCATCGTCAGCATACAAATGTTGATGTAACTGATATTTAAATGCTCGATATCCGTGCTTTTTCGATATTTTTTTTGCTGATTCGTGACCTATCTGCATTTCTCGACTAATTTCTCTTAAAGAAACCGTTTTGTCAACCTCAACCATAGCAAGAAGTTAATCTCATCAGTCTCCTCATTTATGATAAACCTCTGTTTTCCCTGTCGATTCCCCTTTTGCCTAAAACGATTCTCAACATACGGAAAATACTGATGGGTTGGATGTTGCCGATTGGTATATCTCTGAGCATACAACTCAGCCGCATTCCTTGAATTTTTTTAGACATTCGCCAAACAATAACAACATATCCACTTCTTCACTTTGAGTATACATCATTTTGACGGAAAATTAAACTGAAATTTAACGAAAATCAAGAAAATTTTACCTTCTGCTCTTGAAGCTTATGTCACTGTCATAGCCTAAGTGAGTGTTTTGTTCTCCCAAGAAGACTTGATCGAAATAACTGCAAAATATTATGCATCATGCCTATCCTCGGCACACTTGACAAAAGTAATAAATTATTATGAAGTATTTTCGTCAGTAATATTCAATTTATGTTCTTATTTGTAATCCAATCACAAATAAATCAGTATCGTTAGATTCGTCAATATATCCTTTTTTCGGAAAGTGCTTGTCCAAAAATGGTCGCCATTTGAAAAATAATAGTTAGACACGAAAATGTAATTTTTCCAACTTGTCATTCATATCTATCATACTTGTCACTAAAACTTCGCGATTGTAATTTTCTGATATCACCTGAGGTCCTTAGATTAGTTTACTTCCGATCATGGTCACCTAGATGTAATTTCAAAAGTGACTCCGAAAAAATTAAGTAGACATGAAAACTTTCGAAAATGTCACTTTCTGATCTAGAATTGTCTCAGAAATCCAAAAATGTAACAATATACAGGATGTTTCATTTAAACATTTAGAACCGGAGCCATTTCCGGTGAAACCGGAAGTGACCGGAAAGTGAAGAATATGTGAAAACTCTCCTCTTCACATCCCATTTACCTATACCAAATCTCATTTTGATACACCTTATGGTCTAGAAGTTATGACTTGTCTAATAGATTCGTTGACACCCGGTATACCACTTCAAATATTACGGTTTGTCTCTAGAGGGAGGATTATTGAAACAATTAGTGAATAATAAACATTTATTCAATTGAAAAATTTTAAAGAAAAAAGATCACATAAATACTTAAAGAACTATTCTTCAATGAAATCAACAGTCTATTAAAAATATAACCTATAATAGATTGTTTATTTCATAGAAAATGGTTTGCATATAAAATAAATATAAATGCAAGAACCATGAGAAGGCATTTTCATGATACATATTCATAAATTCATAATACACCATAAATACTGGCCTATATTCGATACTATACAGGGTGATCCACGGTGGATGGCCTATTAGAAGTATCTGGAGAACGAAAGGACATAACATTCTGAAAATTGGGATGCTTCGATAATTGAACATTCTCTATCCGTCTAAAATATTTTCATCGATACAGTGTTGCCACTTCTATCAGAAAAAACTAGCAACGTCGTTATTTTAAATAGAGCACCCTGTATTTTATTGCATTTTTAGATTCTTCCTGAAGTGCTGATTTCATCGATGTATCACACTTGGGGTCTATCAAGAATGATTACAGAGATATAGGGTGTTCAAAATCGAGATTTTTCAATTTAAGGATTCTTTTGTGTCGAATCTATTCATTATCGATCAAAACGGCTTACATGTCCCTATCTTAACTTTCGATTCACTATCTACCGACATTTGATTGGAACAGATACAGGGTGATCAGAATTCTGAATATTGAAGCACCTTGTATTTTTTCCAATTGATTTCCAGTAAATAGTGAATCAAAAGTTAAGATAGGGACATGTAAGCCGTTTTGATCGATGATGAATAGTTTCGACACAAAAAAATCCTAAAATTGAAAAATCTCGATTTTGAACACCCTATATCTCTGTAATCATTCCTGCTAGACCCCAAGTGTGATGCATCGATGAAATCAGCTCTACAGGGGAAATATAAAAATCCAATAAAATACAGGGTGTTCTATTTGAAATAACAAAGTTGCCAGTTGTTTCTGATAGAAGTGGCAACACTGTATCGATGAAAATATTTTAGGAGCAGTCACTTTCAACTTTTTCATATATTATCTTAGAAGCAACGTTCAATTGAAAAAAAAAACAGCTACCTATTTCTTTGTTGAAAAAATGATATTTCTTCATTCAAGTGATAAAAGCTCAAAAGAAATATCCATTCTCAGAATACAGGGCGTGAAAGTTTTATGCATGCGAATAAAGAGCCAGTAGTTTTTTTACTGTTTAAATAATTGAAACAAATGCAACATCATTGTTGGTCTTATAATTTTTTCCATTTTTTTTTTCGACAAAAAATTAAGATTTTTGGTTCTTATTTTTTTTTCTTCGGAATGAGAGTAAGATAACAAAAAAGTTATGTTCTCAATTGTTTCATTTAAAAAAATCAATAAAAAGCTTAATAAATCTACGAAATGCTTTTTTATGCACAAAACTAACCCACTAGCCCAGTGGAAACGCCGTTTAGAATTCTTGAAAAAATGTAAAGAAATCATAACATGAAAATGCCTCTCGTCCCTTCACGTACCGAAACACATACAGTACACTTTAAAAGAGAAGAATCACAGGTATTCACATTGAATTGAAATACTTAAACATCAATGTTTGTATCGAAATGTGAACAGATAAG